TATGGCAAAGCATAATGTTTATAATTATATTTGCGGTTTGGGATGTGGGCCCCATATTTTGTTAACTTTTGAAAGAAAATAGACTGTTTTTTTTTACTTCATAAGTAAGCATCATTTATCGGAGTTATTACACTTACGTAGACCTACACAAGATTGTTTTAAATCAATTAAATATATTTAAATATTGTACACTTTCTTAGCAGCTATATATCTTAAAAGATGTTTTTTTAAATATGTTTAACATAGCTTTCTTTCTTAAAAATAATGCGTTATCTCATATACGCTAAATTCTATGTTTATTTGATTATTGTTAAAATCTTTGTATTAAAAATACATGCCTTCTAAAAGCGCGTAATGATTAATTAAGTTCTGAAGTAGGTGGGGATAGACCAATATAGCTAGAACTTGTAAATACAAATCGTACGAAAAGACGTGTATTTGTTTTTAAATGTGATATTCTTTTGTACTATATGAACGGCTAACAGTTAAAGTTGAAGACAAACATACATAATAAAAAACGGTATTGATAATAGTCAGTGCTGACTTGTGTTTATAAAGTTGTGCCCAGTTTACCATTACAGATGTAGCAGATAGTGTCTATGATGGACATGCACACATTACAACTAGAGAATAAGTCTGTAATGTTCTCATGTGTTGTATGATTGACATGTGGTTCTATTATTTTCTGTTGCTGGGTAGGGGAGGGAGTGGATGTGTTTTCTTCACGTGTATTGTTATTCCAGGTGTGGATGTGAATACTGTTATTGTTACACGTCGGGTTAAGGCTTGGTAAGTCATTGTTTATGGTAAGTATGTGAGTTGTGTTCAGTCCCACGTAGTTGTGTTATTCCCTTAGACTCAGGGGTCTCCAAACTTTTTAGCCCGAGGGCCGCATTAACTATCAAATATTAGTTCGGGGGCCAGAGTTTCTTTAAGGCATCTCTTCAGGGTCGTGGCGCCCCCCCCCCCCCCTCCCGAAGAACGTCTACCGCCCCCCCCCCCGCCCCTAATGAAATATAATGTATATAGAAATATATGCAAATTTCAAGTGTCCACCCCCCACCCACCCGAGGTCCTCGTTTGCTCTCAAATTGTTCTTCACGTATTTCATTCTTGAAAATGTTTGTTCACACAGGTATGTTGTTCGAAAATTTGAAAGGTACTTTGATGCAAAAGTTTTAATATTAGGAAAGTCGTCCTTGTGCAAAAACGTATGAAAACCTATCTGCCCTTCTTTGAACATGTCTCTAAGGAAGTCATTTTCTTGCAATTCAATGACCTCCAGCTGCAGTTCATCTTTGCAACTGGCCACATTTGCTTCAAGTGGGTTTTGAAATAGTCTCACTTCTTCTGCCTTTGAATCCAAGTCAGAAAACCGCTATTGAAACTGCAGCCGGAGGTCACTATGTTTTCACCAATATATGCAACACGAAGCTACATTTTCAAATAGTTTTGAATTTTCTGTGCAAAGCTCTTCAGCCAGCTCCAACAAACATTTATTCAATGGACAAAAAGATCGTCGCGGGCCGGATAAAATGACTTCGCGGGCCGCATCCGGCCCGCGGGCCGTAGTTTGGAGACCATGCCTTAGACCAAATGTTGGTATTAAGTTTACTAGGTGTGTGAACGAGAGTTGATGGATTGATTTGGACAGAGGGCTAGGCGAATATATTACGGGTGTAAGCCCGCACTAATACTGTGGTCCAAACTTTGTGTAGTTTGTTGTTTGTACTTCTTAAAGTCGACCTTAACAGCTGGTGGCCAGTAAAAACAAGAACAACTTAGAAATAGACCGGCCGTACAAAAACATCAACCCCTGTAGCGATCGCAATTTACCGGGACTTGTCACAGTCGCTGGTATTGTTTAAGGGTAAATGTTTACCATATAAGGTGTTTATTGCCTGAGACTTGTCACAGTCGCTGGTATTGTTTAAGAGTAAATGTTTACCATATAAGGTGTTTATTGCCTTAGACTTTCATCGTCGTCACAAGATGGTTGTCGTCGTCACATCTAAATTTGTATCATCGCCACTACCGAACTGTTACTGTCGTCATCAGCAAACTTTTAACGACGTCCCCACTGAACTTTGACACCATAATATTTACTACCAATGACAGAGAGTTGCTACAGGAATAGGGCTGGGAATTTCGAGGTAAGTTTTTTTTTTTTCTATTGGTCTTCAGCGGGTACTCACGACCGGTTTTTTTTTAACGTTTGTCAAATACAGAAATCTGCATCTAATAGAAGGTTTTGCTTTACAAAATTAGAGGTCAGATTTCATTTCGTCTCTGCTCCCTCTCTCTCTCTCTCTTGATATAAAACGCATATGAAATGACATCGACCTAGCTATAACGGTTCTCACGTTATCGTGTTCACAGTCACACACAGACACATACACATACACAGAGAGAGAGAGAGAAAGAGAGAGAGACATTCTGAAAAAAAAATCCGACTCACGGATGTATAAAATTTCGAGATTGGTAAATATCTCGATTTAGATTTTTACACGACTGCGATACTTCCTCTATACTTCGTATACGAGAAAGTAAAAATGACAATAATTGTATAATTTTGCAAATTATGTACCTGAAAATGTATGATGAGGAAAAGGTTAAAACACTCCTATATTTTAGAAATGTATGTTTATTAAAAGCGAATTCTCAAAATGGTTTTCAGTAATATTATCTACAACTCACTTTATTACATATTTTTCGTTATTTTCAATTGATAGCTCTTTTTTTTTCTCTATCTGTTGAATCCACTCTACATGGTTTATGTCGTTACAACAACAGCTATGGTCTGGGTTAGATGTAACATTTGTCCATCTCTTCTGATTGTTGCTGACATATTTACGAGCTTTTCGGTCTTAACTTGAACTTATTGATGTATAGGCGGCTCTTGTTGCTAAAGCTACCTCTGCTCACTTTTCAAACATTAGAGGACAAAATACCAGGATATTGTCTTTACTTTTAGACTTCCTTGATCCCATAATTAGCCTCCAGTATTAAATCAACTATCTGCTCCTCTTCTGTTATTTCACCCAATACTGTCAACTGTTATCCCAGATGCACAATAAAAGTATACATCTACTTGCAGAAAAAAATATTTTGAAATTAATTTATCAAAACTATTATTATTGCCGAATGTTCGTGCATTTAATAACTGAGCGTACATAAAGTGCGTTAGGATAAAACTATCTTTACTCGTAAATTAATACCGTTACTGTTTTATTTTTAGCGCAATTTCCATACGGACAATTGCGATTATTAACTCGTCATTTCTGGATGTATGGATGTGTGTCCGCAGCCTTTAAGTCGTATCTCCTCCTCAACGAAGCAATATTGAGGACTAGTTCCAAAAGCAAATATGTTAAGCACGTTTCAAGAATGATTGTGGGCCAAAAAAATGCCCGGAATTCCTTCCTGGATTTCCCGGAAAAGCCAAAAAAACTCGAACAAATGCAGTTTTTGGCCCATATCTCGGCAACCAGACAACTTAGCGACTTGAAACATTTACCAATCGATTCCTGTCATAATTTAAACCAATATTGCCGAAGAAAGTTTTCAAAAATATCCTTTCGTTCGGTCACACAAAATTAATTAAGAACATTTAAACTAAGCATCGTGTAGGCCTAGGATGATATTTACTACTTTTTTTAACTGAGCATCTTGTAGGCCTACTCGTTAAAATAAAACTATGTCCGTTGATATAGGTTAATATAGTAGTCTTTTATTTTTACTTATTAATTCGAACGTTATTTTTTCACCCTATTAATTTATTTATAATTTATATTAGAGTGATAGGGAGTTACAATTACAAGGTTTTGTTTTGCTAAGCCTAATCTTTTTATCACATTTTTTTTTTTTTTTTTTAAATTTTTTTTTAAATTTTTTTTTTTATTTATTTATTTATTTATTTTTTCTCAATTTTTTTTTTAAAGATCTAACGTCGAAACTGCAACCAGAGTAGCAGTATTGTATAAGTTTCATCTCACTATATAAAAATTTTCATTTGTTATTTGACTATCGTTTATTATTTTGCGTTGTAAACAAAATTTCTAAAGGTTAAGTAATTTTATACGATTATTTTAAGATTATAAAAATAATATTACATTTTATTAAGTTTTTTAATTACTAAGCATACATATTGGAATGATGTTTTCATTATATGTTTGTTTGCTTAATCAATATACTCTCCTTTTTAAAAAGTCCCCTGATTTTATGAACAATACAGCATGGGAGGTAACTTTATTTACACAGGCTTTGTCTACCATTTTTTTTTAAATTTTCTTTACAGTAATCTATGGCATGTCCAAATAGTTATGATTACGTTTTGGGATGGGGTCCCTGTATGCAGGGTCAGCGCTAACTATAAGGCGAACTAGGTGGTCGCCTAGGGCGCTACCATACGGAGGGGGTGGGGTCGCGCAAAAATGTGTAATTTTCTTTATTAATAATTACCTAATAATGTATAATCATCTCCATTAACATTTTATTTGAACAAAAAGTAAATCTATTTTGTTGTTTCAATATGTGTTTTGTTGTCTTGGAATATAACTCATAAGCTGCATGCAATCTGACAGATGTATTTATCCAACATTGAGAAAAGTATGGAGGTCTGGTGTGGCTAGAGGATGACTTGATATATCTAGTCTTTGTTCGGTAGCTTAAATAGCTGAATTGGAGACTGAGGGTTGACTGCCCAGATGAAGATTTGGCACTATAGTTTTGTGAGTGTTGGCACGGCAGGATAATGTTAGATTTGTCCAAGTAGGTGCAGATGGTGATTATGGTGATGATGATGAATTCTTGACTCTAACCCAAGGGATAATTGAAAAAATGTATACTATAAGAAATTCTAACTATTCTTGAAATTCGTACTGATTTCTAACTTTCAATTTCTAACTTCGCTTCCGTTTTAAAAATATTGTTTTAATTGAAAATTATAAAGGGATTTTTATTTAACCGCTATGGTTGTAGTTTAAACATAATTATTATTATTATATTGCAATTATATCCAAATCACGACGACCCTGGGCTGTCAGACGACGACCACCAGTGTTGGCATCCTGCTCAACCATCTTAAGTGATTCAAGGACCTGGAGGACTTTACGAGCTACACTTCTTGAGCCACGGCAGTTATGACTGGGAGTTGTTCCATTACGCTGGTTTCCTCCATAGATTTTTGTCAGAGCTCCGACACCACAGGGGGCACGGATGTACAAATGGCGAGCAACAGATGCTGCTCTGATGTAAAACCAATCTTCATCATAAGGACTGAGTTCATTGAATCTGCCAAGTTTCACTATATCTGCCCATTCAGGAACCTTGACTTTACCAGTCCTTTTCAAAAAATCAGCAAGAGCTTTGGTGAACTCATGGGCATTAACATCTTTGACTGAGATACCCATCTAACTTTGTGTTTGTCACTCTTCTTGTTTTCATACTTTGAACGAATAGACAACAACATTCAGAACGTTCAATACAGATCAGGCACAAAGAATATTACAAATAATACAACATCTTTAAATGGTTCTTATGGTTTAAAATAAAAAGAAAATAATTTAATTATATTTTTAAACTGAAACATATCTCTTAAATGGTATATACAAAAGTAAAAATTCTAATTAGAAAATGTATATAATAATGTAATAGATTTATACCATATCTGTACTATTTAGGTACGCATTAATCAACAAAAGAATTGTTAAGTTGTTTCCCTTATAAAATTTAAATTAAGTTAAGTCCCGTTCATTTATCAACTTTAAAGAATATAATTCTAATATAAGTCTTTCTCTTAATTTGTGAGAGTAGCACAGAGATATGAGTCTAAACAATTTCATTTTTTATAAGAGTGTAGAGTGTATATGGAATAATTACGCCAAATAATTGCAACAGTAATTTCATATTGCTTTGTTTTATTTCCTATTCATTTAATATGGAGTAGTTAAGACGTAATGTTCTATTGTTTGTTTTGTTGTCCGCCGTTCTTCGTTTATTTAATGTTTAATTTAAAATGTTTTTGGGTTGATTTACATTTGTTCATTTATTTTGCAATTTTGATCACTATTATCATTTAATACTTTTTTTTTTCCTCCACTTTTCAAGATTTTTTTGACGTTACAAAAACATCTATGGTGTGTGTGAGATATAATATTTTTTCCATCTCTTCTGATTGCAGCTGATATATTTTTACGGCTAAATAAAGCACTGGTTAATTGTAAACTTGCAAGTATTGATGTATAGGCAGCTCCTGAAACATATCTTTAGTTTGCTAGATCAGCAGCTTTAAAGAGAAGATGTATTTGTGTTGGTTCACATTCAGTTTAATAGCGGTGAATAGCACTGTCACCTTGAGCTGCGGGTGTTGTCATTTAAATTAAAGTAAATAACATGTAACTGTTTTTACACTTATATATATATTATATGTTATATTAGTATGATTTGACTCTGATCGAGAACCGCAATATATAGTGTTTTTATTTTTATTAACTCGATGTCTTTAACCTATTAGGGGTGATATGTAAAATGTTCTATTTAGCATTTTATCTTTCCCAAAAACAGAAACTTATTTTGCGCTAAAAATGTTGTTATCTTGTTGTAGTATGTCTTCATTAGCTAAGTGGCATTAAGTAGTCTAAAATTAGTTGGACCCACAACTTCCACATATCTGTCGTCTTACACGAATAGCAAATAAAATGTTTATTGGTGTACTTTATAGTTGATTTTTTAAGTAGTGTGTAAAGGTTGATGAATTGTCCGAAAAATTGTGAAGCTTTGGTTGTTGGTGTAGGGCTGTAGGCCATTGAGTTGACAGTGGGTTCTAGTTTGCTAAGATTTCTCAGGGCCTTTATGATTGTGTCACTGTTGAGTGGGTGGGGTGGGGGTGGGACATCTGAGGGTGCCGCTGACATTGTCTTCCCTGTAGATGGTGAGTTCTAATGTATAAAGTCCGTGATGTTTGGTGGTGTTGTTTAGTTCTTTTACGTGAACAACAGCCGTAGTTGAGTTGTAGAATATTGTGCCGACTGATCAGTCGTCTGATAATATTCCTACGTTAGTTAGGCCGTCCATTGGGTTTTTTATTATTACTTGCATTACAGGTATGATGATGACCATTTATCTACATCAATGTATACACACAAGAAACCATTAAAATATGATTTAATAATAATTTAATACAAAACCAGTTCAGAAATACGCTGGTTCACCTATTTAAATAAACCGGGAGTGATATCCCCTAAAGTTTATCGAATATTCTAAGTTATTCTTATATAAAAAAAAGGGGGGATGGGAACTGATATAGACATGATTTTTAATCCATTTTAAATACTTAATATTTTTTATTTTTTTTAAATAGAATAAAATCTAGTAGAAAAAATAATTGCACACTAGTGAACGCCAAATAAAATGTGCATAATAGTGCGAAATATTATTAGTGCTTGATACTAGTACTTTCATATTCGAAAATTAATAAATTTGTTCAATAGATGTATACTATTTTTGAACTGCTAAGGTGCACGTTAATCAACAAAAGAATGTGTAAGTTGTTTCCCTTATAAAATGTGAATATAATTAAGTTTCCTTTATTTATCTCATCGCAGCAATAGTATTCTTATACACATGTTACCTTTATCGGCGAGATTAGCACAGCGACTTAAGGGAGATAACTAAGAAACTCTGTGCATTTCTCTCGCAGAGTGTTGTTTATATTCCTCTAGTAGACTTCGTTATATGCGCACAATTTCCGTAACGAACTGGCACATACACATTTTATATGTTCTGTAGTAGAATATGTATTTATACTTAACCGCATTGAATATTCGTGTCTGTTCAGTGTACTTTTAATCAATTTCACCAAGTGTGTGGGGTATCGATTGACTCTTTATTTATTTTTTTTCGTTTCATATGGTCGTCCATATTGATCTATAAATCTACTATAAATAAACGAAACAGTGCATATTCATAGATACTTTATATGCTATGTTTTTTCCTATTTTTTTCAGTTTAAGATCTAAAGCCTTTTCAATACTTTTATCATACTTGGCATATAAAAGTAAGTATTAAACAGCAAAAAAACAGGTCGAAAACAATTTTGGTTGTCAAGGAAACCCCAAAAACCTCCGCCATTCTGAATTTTTCCGTACTTTTAAAAATACTAAGGCTTTTTTATTTATGCACCTATAGCAATCAAATTTAAACTGCTTATATTGTATCTAAAATATAAATATGTATATTTCCTTATTATTAATATTGTTAGTTGCCTGTCATCTTTTTGTCAGAATTTTGTTTTGTTTTCGAAAAACATTTATTGCCCTTTGCCGTATCACAAAGGCCGCCCTCACGTGTTTAAATGATTAATGACTAAGTCAGTGGGTGGGGTAGACGAGGATAGCTAGAACATGTATATACAAATCGTGCAAAAAGTTGGTTATGTATCTGACTTTGTATTTAGATTTGATTTTCTCTTGCGCTTTATGAATGACATGGTCACGTACGCAGAGGAGAGGTTGAGGGGAGGGGGGGGGGGGGGGGGGGGGGGGTCGGAGCATGGGGGGGGGGGAGAAAACCCCTCCCCCTAAGACAATGTTAAGCATAGTAGCGCCTTTTTCGGACGATAATTAAATAAAATTTAAAACACACACATACGCACACACATACACACACACTCAAACACAAACAAAGGCAGCTAACACATTGCTGAAACTATGAATTTAATATCACCCTACATATCACATTTGTAATAACTCATCGCAAGTAGATATATAGGCTACTTATTGGCTTATTTATCGGCGCCTAGCTCAGCGCCGGGCATGTGTGAGGCACTTTTTTGTCCAATTTAGCGTCTGAACATCTGTCGTTTATGTTATTCCTGCTGGATATAGACTGTCAACCACCTAGAGACCGATCTTAATTCACAATCTTTGCTTGAGTAGACAGGCTTAAATCAGCCATGCTTCTTTTATATGGGATTCCTATTAACTTTGGGTTTTAAGGCCAGTCTATAAACGTCGGGTAATTATTACCTAAAGTGTGCCCCGTAGGATACGATTTTGCTTATCTTTCAAATGTCAATACAAGCAAGAAGGGAAACAGCAGGGCCATTGCTTGTCAGCTGATCTAGAACATTCTACAAAGGCATCTTTTACAGATGCACCCATTGTTAGCGGGATTGTGTTAAAAACTCTATACAATTATATAGGGTGGAGGGTGGAGATAAAGTTGAATAAATGTACCGAAAAATATACGCTCAACCTCAAGAACGTTAGAATTAGTCAAGATTATAAGCCTTTATAGATGTCCTTAATGAATTAACAAAATACATCGGGTAAGTTTAGTTACAACAATATACAAACACTACAGATAATAGTAAAACTGACTCCAAAAAATGAAAATAAGCAAACTTCAAATGAAGAATAATTATATGTGTTATTTTAGAGTCAGAGTAGCGACATTAAAACCAGTAAAACTCGGTGAATACAGAGTTTCTTCCCCCCGAACGATATGAAATTTATATAATTTATTTAGAAAATATATACTTTTAACAGTGTCCGCCCCCCCCCCCCCCCCGAAGAAAGTTTACCGCCCCCCCCCCCCCCCCCCCCCCCGAAGATTTCAAGTGCCCCCCCGGAGAAAAAAGTCTGGAAGAAACACTGTGTGAATATTGTTTTTCTAATTACATGTAAACATCATTATGTTAAAAAAAACTTTAAAAGAGCATAAAATGTCTAGGTAATTCAAAAATGTAAAGATTTACATTTAATGTAGATCAGGGGTCGGCAACCTGCGGCTCGTGGGCCGTATGCGCCTCTTTTGATGTTAGGATGCGTCTCGCCAGTTCTATAATAATGATAATAATTTAATTTCATAATTCTTAAAAAAATATTATAGGCCTACGGTAAAAAAGTCAAGATAAGACAACACTAAGAATAGGTGGAGTAGAGTGTGTACAGACAGATGACAGCTGCTTGGTTACTAGGCCCACCTCCACAACTGTGATGTGGCCAGCCCCGTGGCAGTAGTTCCATGCTTTCTACTACCGAAGTGCTTATTTTTTCGAATATTTTCAATTTTATTTATTTTATTTTATTCAGAAGACATTGCTTTTATTATCCTAGCATAGTTAAATACTTTATTATGTGTTGTGAATACATGCTTATGTTTTTATATTTTATATGAATACATATTATTTCACACTTAAACCCATTTATTTTAAATCCATTTACCTAACCCTAATCAAATACCATAATATTGAAAAAAAATGTTAGTGGCTCTTTAAGAACTAGGAGATATTGTAAATTGATTATACTTTAGATTGGTCATCACATTTTTATTTTGTTTGGCAGTACAAACTAAAGATTTATTAAACATATCAATAATATATGTATTTCAACACATATTGGTAATTTTCACATACTAC